TAACAAGCAACCCACAAACGCTAGTTTTATTCCTCAGTCAGCTGTCATAACTTATAAACTCGGCTGAAACATTGATCATACACAGAGCCTACTGTCATTTCTTAGATGTCTAATTCATCAGCATTAACTGTTTAAAACCCTCGACAACCTCCATAAAATCCAGAGTCCTGACCAAAATCAGAAATTTCAATTCCTCCCTGAGCAATGTGCTTTCATGATTTGTACAATTTCAGACACAAAATAATGGCAATTTCCTGATTAGCTCTAGGGTCATTTAGAAATGATTTTCTTCTCCCACCTCAAACTACACTTAAATCCATTAATTTATAAATCAAACTGATCTCCTGTTGAATTGCTTCATTGTTGAGTCTATAAAAATGGTGTAAACAAACAGAAAAAGATTATTTACACAAGTTGCCAGAGGTAATATCTTCAAAGTGCCTATTTTGTCTATCTGACAGCCCCAAGCCCAAAGATATTAATTTTACAATTTTCAAGCAGTAAAATCCTCTCATGTGTGAAGATTTTCACAGCTGCTGATCATCTTCTGAATCAACTAATCCTGTCAGCATCTGTTTAGTGGAGTTTTCTTTTCTCAGTCATCTGAAGCGCTTTACCTGCATTATGATTATTACATTTTTTTGGCATGGTTTTGTCTCTTTTGTGACCTAATCTCACTCTTTTCACCTCGCTCAAGGGGGAAAAATGTTTTTACTGATGATAAAGTGCCCATAGCACTGACACCCCACCCATATAGCTTTGCAAGTCAGCTTACACTGTACCCTTATGCTAACACAGTTGCTGRGTGTGGTCGGTTACCCAGGTGCAAGGCATGCATCACAGACTGAGGATGATACACGGACATGACTCCTCTGGGCAGTGAAAAAAGGCCCTACTATCACCGCTGAGTAGTATGAAATACATTAACCCTTAAAGGCATAGTTCATATCATTTGAGTGTTGGATTCTGTGGAAAGTTGGAAACAATTATAGCTCTTTAAATGACTGAACCATCCATTTATGTCCAATGATTTTGAATCAGAAATGCACTTAAGACTGCATTAGGTCTTAATGCCTTTTTCCAGTTTATTTCTGATTATTATTTATTTATTTTGCATGGTTGACATCACAGGCTTTGTTTACAGAAGTAAATACAAGATATGTGCTACACATGTCGCAATAGCTGCYTTTCCATTGCAAATGTGCGCAAAACTTTGTCGATATTCTGTTAATGTCGAAAAAACAGTTTCGCAATTGCGTTGTTTCTATTAAGAAATGCTATTAAAGTCACACGTGAATACGTTTGTTCTCGCGATAAGTCATTACAAACATGGTGGCAGTGGATGTAAACACATGCATAATTGCTACCACGATACTAGCGCTCATCATCAGCCATCAGAGAAGACGTCTGCGTCTTATTGAGGCTTTCGAGTGACAAGCCCCTTATACTTGGGAGTGGCTACATATGCTGTGTTTCTGGGAAATTGTAGTTGGTGAATTTACTAKTTTCTTTTACTACTTCGGTGATTTTACTACTACTTCAACTTCCTGTTATCTTCTTCTTCGTCGTCTTTTTTTGCCAGTAGAAACATCCTGTTGTTGATCACGTGACTCCTGTGATGCAAAAAAAGTGTTTCCATTGTAGTTTTGCGAAATACACCAATTTTAATACAGCCGAAAAACCACCTCATCCTAGCACAAAACCATTTTGTCGAAAAACGTCATTTTTTTTTCGAAATTGACGTGTTTCCATTGATCAAATTTATTTTCGAAATTCTAATTTGCGCATTTTCATGGTCAATGGAAACGCAGCTTGTGTTTGTATCGATTCTGAATTTGTTGTGCTTATAGCGCTCTCAGAAAAAACACCGGCAGTTGTGGCTGTGGTATTTCATCATATCATCATTTAGGTATCCACACTACTCACTTACCAAAACCATGGCTTGTCGCCACATCTGCTATTATCCCAAGGCAGACTTTAAATAACTCTTCTGTAAACAAGTTGTGTCCGTTTCCTTGTGTTGCCCCATCCCGGTGAATGGCGAGCTGTCTCATCCTCAGCAGCAGCTTCAGGAAATTAGGAGTGACTCCTACAGAGAGAGATTTTCACACTAATCTCCGATATTACAGTGGCATCTACTGCTGCCGATGAATCTAATTAATTGGGCCATATTTTATAAAGTGAACACACACTGAGGCACATGTGAGGACAGGTTTTGTGCAACTATTTATAGGTGCTGATTGCATAAGCTTGTTTCTTTAACAACAGGGCATTCTCACTTTGTCAGCACAAAACAGATAAAAGCGGTAACTGACCAGATTAGCTTTACATGACATGCATAGATCTATTGCACCCCTGCTCCTTTTTGGCAAAGGGTGTGCGGCCCAACGGGTCCCATGGTTTGGAAAAATGTTGACAGTAGACGCTATTTTTGACCATCTGCTTTAAAAGGAGGGCATGTTTGAGTCACAGACGCTGTGGTGCGAGGCTGCACCCGTGATGTGCCTGGCATGTGAAGGGAGGGAGGAGAGAGAGAGAGAGAGACAGAGAGATAGTTCACCCGAGGGCCCAGCATCCTTCGTGTCACCATAGATGTGTGCACAGTGTGTTTGCCTGGTTTCACTAATGTGGGTTATGTTAGCATGAAGGACGGTGGAGGAGGAGAAGGAGGAGGTGGGAAGAAGCATGGGAGTAGAGAGTGTGTGTGTGTGGGGGGGGGGGTTGTCATATTTAGGATTGAGAACAAGAGAGACAATAAGCAGGATGTAAACATCTGAGAGATGAGTTAGTTCTTGGATCAAAAATGCAACGTTTAACACCGTCTCTCTGTTTTCTGTTTGTGTGTGTGGACACATATTTGCTACATCATTTTCCAGAGAAACACAGCCTTGTGGGGACCCAGTGCTCCTTATGGGGCCCAAAGCCTGGTCTATGCCGGTG